AAAAAAAGATTTACAGCCTTCAAAACCATATGGGTCAGTCCTCCTCTGTCTAAAAGGGTCCCACTGAGTGCCAAGGTCTCGCATATCCCAAGTAATGAGTAAATGTTGACTATTTCTTTCACTAATAATTTTTTGCTACAAATATAGTATATAACCCAAAGAGAAAATCTTTGAATTATTTAAACCCCGCTGCAATGTAGTATCTGGGGACATAAGCTTTAAAAATACTTGTCATTCACTTTATATCAAATGTCAGTTTGAGAATTTTTCCCAACTTCGAAAGTATAGTTTCAGTGGGACAGAGAGAGAACAATTCAACAGTCATTTGCTCAGTAAGTTTCTTGCTTATTGGTCTAGCACAGAAAGGGAAGCTAATTTAGTGCTATGAACTTTATTATTTTGAAGATTATGATATAAAAATGTAATTATACAAGAGGACTTCAAAAGTCCATGAAAAATGGAAAAGAAAGATAATGGATTTTTTCCAGGACGTTTAAAGCTCCTTCTTATATGCTTTTATCTGAATGCTAAGGGTGAATTTAAAGAAACATTTTCATTTTGTTTCAGATTTCCTTTTCCCCCATTATAATTTAATTCTTTGTTATTGGGAATGAACATCTACACATATATATATGCACATGTATTTTCTTTGACTTTGATTCATCTTTCTTTACCTTAAGTCAGGATTAGTAGTGAGGCCGAGACGTTAATTTACTGTGATTTGGTCCTATAGCCTTCCTAGATTATTCAGAATGAATTTTGATAACGCAATTATTATTGTCAGTTCCTGTTGGTGATACACTTTAGAAATATATAAATATATTTATATTTATATATATTACATATAAATATATTTAGACCTAGATAAAATATATTAAAAAGGGCATCCAAGTCATTTTACAGAACAACTCAAACTCAAACTCACTGCCATCAAGTGGATTCCAACTCACAGTGACCTCACTGGGCAGGGAAGAGCCTCCCCTGTGGGTGGTCAAGTATGGGAGTAGAAAGTCCCATCTTCTCCTGCGGAGCAGCTGGTCCTTTCTAAGTGCTGATCTGGTTGGTGCTTAACAACCCACCTCATACCCACGCCACCACCACTGGCATGATAAAATCAAAGTAAGCATCCACTGCCTATTTTTGACAAGTCCTTTTGGTTGTTGCCAAAGTTGTTGAGAAGGCCATATTCACTTCTTTGACACTGAAGAGGAGATTGCAGTATGACTTCTGAGACATGGATCACATTCGACCTTTTCTACGATGTTTGTTGTGGTGCTGTGATCTAGTTCAAAATTTCTGGAGAGACTTATGGCCTTGCTTTTAACCATGTGATTTTCTTAATGAAGGATAATGGTTAAGCAATACAACTATGTATTTGTATACTCTGGGAGAACTCCAAAGATTAGTTCTTTTTACTCCGGCTGCCTTGCTTCAACCTAATCTGTAGAATTAAAAGTTGTAGAAAATGCCTCTATTACCCTCACCACTTCTCTTCCCTGGATATAAAGACATAAAAAAAATCATTAAACTGTCAAGAACACTATTGATATTTAAAGTATTTACAGACGTGTGGCTAGATCAATACATAACAGTGAAACTTGCTAGAAAAAGAAGTTATCTGTGAAACATATTTAATGTCCTATCCCACAACCCTAGCTTTGTTAGGCTGATGATATTGGGCCTCCCCATTGTCTTTTCCCACTCACACAGGCCATCGAGTCATTTCTACCTGACAGTGACCCTGTAGAACAGGGTAGAATGCCCTGTGGGTTTCTGAGACTGTAAATTTTTAAAGGAGTAGGAAGTCTCATCTTGCTCTTGTGAAGCACCTGGGGGTGTCAAACTGCCGAACTTGCTGTTAGCAGTCCAAAGCACAACCACTAAGACACCATGGCTCCTGTTCTCGTTACAAATACGTTATCAATTTAATGCCTGTGCATTCCTTATGGCTAGATTCCCATGTGTACTCCCAAGTTACGTTGTTGTAAAACAGTATTTGCAATGAAGTTGGTCTTCCAAAATTCTATCATTTGACCTCCAGCTTTGTTTGTATCACCAGCGCCTGCTTTTTCACCTAATGAATTGGCAATGGAATCAATGGCAGGGAGTTTGGGTTTGTTTGCTTTTCATCCTTCCTTGCTGACTTGTGAACTATGCTTTGAGCTGCTAACCACAAGGTTAGTAGTTCCAACCCTCTAGTTGATTTATAGCCTCAGAAATGCAACTGGGTCGCTATGAATCAGAATTGACTTGATCGCATCATTACTGTTTTTTTGTTTGAATCCGTCCTTTTTGTTTCCAAATTTAGAACTTTCATTACCAATGATTATACTGGCCAATACACATTTTGGTCTTTCAAAAGTTACTACACTTGATTCTGGATATATTTGATCTGCTGTCGCTGTTGTTGTTGGGATGTGTTATGAGTGCACTTTGAATATTTTAATCCATTTCAGACTGAAGAATTTCTTCATTATTGGCTTGGGTGGTTGGTGTATAAATTTGAATAAGAGATGCATTAGCTGGTCTTACTGTTATGTGTGTCGATGTTATTCTATACATGTAGCATTGTACTTCAAATAGATCTTAATAGGTTTTTCTGATGATGGACATGAAGCCATTTCTCTTTATTTTCTCAGTCCAGGTATAGCAAACCAGATGACAGCCTGATTTTAAATGGCCAATACCAGTTCCCATCACCTCACTGACTTGTCTGGAAAGAAGTACAACCATAATGCTCCCTTCAAGCAAGGATGGTGAGGCTTTGTCATACACATGTTTTCAAGAGAGACCTATCCCTGGAAAAGAAAATCGTGCTTGGTAAAGTGGAAGAGCAGCAAAAAGGAGGAAGGCTCTCAATGAGATGGATTGGCACAGGGACTGCAACAAGGGTCTTAAACAATACAATGTCACAGGAGTGGGTAGCATGTTGTTCTGTTGTCTATAGGGTTTCAGAAAACTAGAAATTGGAACAGACTGGACAACACCTAACAACAATAACAATGCCTAGGATATTAATCTTTATGCATTCTATTGCATTTTTG